CAGGACACAAAACAAATACAATTGGCAAAAGGAAGACGTGTAAGGAGTGAAGTCTAGGGGGAAATCAGGCATGAGCTTCCAAGTGTTCTCTCTCAGTAGAATCACGTATTTAATTCTCCCAGCAATGAGTTGTGAGAAATGTTACCAACTAGAGAAGGTCATTAGAGTCTCACAACCGGAAAGTTTTATCGGACACTGGTTGTGTGGGCAGTCTTTGACTGATGCATACCAAAATTCCAAATTCCCAGAGTGACAGCAGGTGTCTGACATGAACCATATTGTTTGTGTAAACAGTTTGTATCCAATGAACCACTCTTATGGTTAATGGTGGTGGGAACTCTCCTGAAATCCAAATTCCATTATAAGCAGGTCATTTAAAGTCAGGCTTCTCATATGAACTCTTTTCTGCACAAGCAGAGAGAGTAAGCAGACAGAAACTACTCTTCTGATGAATTTTGCTACAAAAGAGTTAAGAGAAATCAGATGGCAGTTGGAAAGAATATAGAATGTTAAAGGATTTTATTTTTTATTTCCTTATTTTTAATATGAGTGAGTTTCCCGGATGTTTGTATGATGACAGGAATGATACAGTAGAAGAGGAAATTTGGTGAGGCAGGACAGAAGGGGATATTTGAGTGGAAAAGGAGAATGGGATTCAACTCAGAATTAAAACATAAGCCTGGCTGGGTGCGGTGGCTCAGGCCCCTAATACCAGCACTTTGGGAAGCCAAGGCCCCCCGCTCTGATCACGAGGTCAGGAGATGGAGACCATCCTGGCTAACATGGTGAAACCCCGTCTCTACTAAAAATACAAAAAAATTAGCCAGGCGTGGCAGCGGACGCCTGTAGTCCCAGCTACTGGGGAGGCTGAGGCAGGAGAATGACCTGAACCCAGGGGGCAGAGCGTGCAGTGAGCCGAGATCGCGCCACTGCCCTCCAGCCTGGGCGACAGAGCAAGACTCCATCTCAAAAGAAAGAAAGAAAGAAGCGTAAGCCTACGAGACAACAGGGTAAGTTCAACCATCATATGAGTAATTATGATTGTCAATAGACATACTAAATATGTGTCTACTTTAGTTATAAATTGTATTAACAAGAGAGTTTTGTATGGTGACAACTAATATGATTAAGTATACAAAATCAATAACTATCCTATTTTAAAAATCTAGTGAGAAAGGAAAGATCACCATTCATGGTATCAGTAGGAAAAATACACTTATTTGGTACATGGAGAACTTATATGAAAAAATGCTGTAAAATATCACGAACAGGCATAAAATAGGCAAGAATAAGTGGAGAAATACATCAATCAATGTTCTTGAAAAGAAACACTAAATATTGTAATAAAGTATTTTCCCCTCAAATTAATTTAATCAAATGTACTCATTCAAATCAAAACCAATTTCACAGTGAGGAAGGTTAAAATAATGATTTAAAACTTTTTATTAACTAAATTATCCTCAAGTTATCTGAATCAAATTAGGTTTATTGATTCACATCAAAATTAATTGGATTTTATAGAAGTCAAGCAAGTACTAAATTTTTTCCTCAATATCATTTATTTTGTATTATACAAATAATATATATTGATTGTAGAAAATTTTAAAGTACAAATAAGAATGTTTTAAAAAACACAAAATACAACTATCCGGAAATGTAAGACCCAGCAAACAGCCCCTTCCTCTTTACATTTTATTGCATGTTCTTCCAAGTTTTTTTTAGGCTTGCAGTCCTTGACATGCATGGTTCTGATATGCAAAACTTTCTGTTACCATAGTTCTGTTGTAAGTCAGTCCCGCGCATCTTAGGTTGGAATTTCAGTCACTGCATTATGTTAACTGTGAGTAATTGCATAAACTACAAACTTTACTTCTTGCTCTTCTGTCCACCAATCCCTTTGCATATAACATATGCACCTCAAAAATCAGTGACCAAAGATAACACCTCTTTCAAAGTCTGTCAGTAATTAGTCACTGCACATTTGTTATTCAGCTCATACACAGACAGCAAAGCTTATATGATGCCTCTGTGTTTCCCAGCGATAAACCCATGTAACGTTTTATAGAAATGGATAATTGAAAGAGAGAATTGACCAATAAAGTGAAAGATCAGCAAAGAAACGAAGAGTCATCACGTTGGAAGTGCAATTCAAATAGAATGTAAATGGAATTATAGAAGAAATAGCTAACCCTGGGAACACTGGCACTGTTGCCACTGAAGAGAAGTTTAGTGGGGGCAAGTATATACACATGAATGAGGAGTGTAGTTGTGACAGGAAGGATGAAGATGTCCCAGAGAGGATGATGCCAGTAAAAATACTTGTGTTAAAGAAACTCTCAGAAATATTTCATGACATTGAAAGGGCAAAAGATTTCATGTTGGAAGCCCATCCAAACTTAAAGGGAATATGACAATTGGCCAAGGCATAGAAAAGATGCTTGCTCCATGTCAAAAGTTACGTGACTTCAAGGCAGGCACTATTCAAACTACTCTTCATAATTTTTTTTTTTTTTTTTTTGAGACTGCATCTCGCTCTGTCACCCAGGCTGGAGTGCAGTGGTGTGATCTCGGCTCACTGCAACCTTCACCTCCTGGGTTCAAGCGATTCTTGTGCCTCAGCCTCTGAGTAGCTGGGATTAAAAGCATTTACCACTATGCCTGGTTAATTTTGTATTTTTAGTAGAGACAGGGTTTCACCATGTTAGCCAGGTTGGTCTTGAACTCCTGCCCTCAAGTGATCTTCCCTTCTCTCCCTCCCAAAGTGCTGAGATTACAGGCATGAGCCACCACACCTGGCCTATAATTTTTATTAATCAATAAAACATTTTAATTCCTAATGCTTCTAATGTGTTATATTAGAGGGTATTAAATAGACACGGTCATGCCTTGTGTAATGACATTTTGGTCAACAATGGACTGCAATGATGGTGGTGCCATAAGATTATAGTGGAACTGAAAAATTCCTGTCATCTAGTGACATCATAGCCGTTGTACCATTACCATGTAGTGCAACACACTGTATTTTTCATGTTTAGATACACAAATATGCACCGTTGGGTTACAACTGCCTACAGTATTCAGTACAGTAACATGCTGTACAGGTTTGTAGCACAGGAGCAATAGTCTATATCATACAGCTTAGGCGTATAGTAGGCTATACATTCTAGGTTTGGGTAAGTACACTCCATTATTTTCAAACAATGATGAAATTGCCTAAGGAGGCATTTCTCAGAATGTATTCTCATTGTTAAGCCACACATGACAGTATTTCATTTCTGTATATAACTTAGACAGCAAGAAACAATTTGTGTAGTCATTTTTACAATTTCACACTACCATACCATGCAAGGTGTGCCAGTATATAGGAAATTATTTCCTTCTTTCTCTTTCCCTCTCTCTTTCTCTCTTTCTTTTTCTCTCCTTCTCTCTGCTTCATCTCTTGACCATCTCGTAATAGTGTATGTACTTTAACAAAAATGGGGCCATAAGGAAACCATTGTTTTAAATTCTACTTTATTGTTTCACATATAATACATTATTTTCACATTAACAAATATAAATAAACATCATTTTACATTTAGTAAATGCAGAATATTCCACTGATTGACTGTGCCAAAACTCATTCAACTATTCTCTCTAATAAACGTTTAAATTATTGCTTTTGTTTAGTAGTATGGGCAGAGCAGCAAAGAGCTTTCTAGAAGCTTAATTGCTGAATCAAACAGTATATGTATGCATTTTTAAATTTGATACATACTGTTGAACATATTACTAAACTGAATTTCCAAAAGTTACCCCAATTTATACTTCCAAGAGTGAAGAAGAATCCAACGCTCAGAATCCATATCAACAGTAGCTATTTTTAGCCTTTTTAATCATTGATAATCTGAAAAGTAAATTTTTTTGCATTTTTTAAATTGTTCCACTGAATTAAATTTGTGTGGTGTCATGTTATATATATTGGTTTTTATCCACAGTTCCTGTCTCCTAACTTCTACGGTACTTTTTATACTCTTGAGCCACTTTAGGCCTCAGGAAACAGAATCTCTCTCTCTGGCCTTCTCCTGACTTCTTTCACCTGCCCAAGGCAGGACTCTAATCTGATCGTGAGTCAAAAGACCCTCATTTCAGAGAGAGTCCTGCCCATAGTCTGGAGGAGGGAATGCTTCATGGAGAGACCTAGAAGAATCTGAACAGACAGGTCTTTCTGGGTTTAGATCATACTGTTTTTGCCCAATCACATTTTGACACAGTTACTCATGCTTCCATCATGGACAACCGATGAAGTCTCCATAAAAGGCCCAAAGGACAGGATTTGAGGAGCTTCTGGATAGCTGAACATGTGGAGCTTCCTGGAGGGTGTGTACCAATGCATCTCTTCATTTGTATCCTTTGCAATATCCTTAATAATAAACTGGTAAACGTAAGTTCTGTGGGCCATTCCAGCAAATTAATCGAATCCAAAGAGGGGATTTTGGGAACCTCAACTTGAAGTTGGTCGGTCAGAAGTTTTGGAGGCCCAGACTTGAGACTGGGGGGAAAGAGGGGGTGGTCTTGTGGGATCGAGCCCTTAACCTGTAGAATCTGATGCTATCTCTGATGCTATCTCTGTCAGAACTGAGTTGAAAGACATTGATGTGGTGTCCACTGCTTGGTGTGTGGGAAAAAGACCCACATCTTTGGTCACAGAGGTCTTCTGTGTTGATGATTATTGTGATGTGAGAGCAGAGGACAAATTTAGTTTAGGAGAGTTTTTCCCCAACACAATTTGTATTGGAGCAAAATGAGAGACCGTGGCAAATTTCTGTTTTCCATTCAGAAGCATACAATTTTAGGTCATATGGTTTAAAGTTATTCATATTCAAAGAGACTTTTTTGCAGTTCTTCAAAGACAGCTTTTATAGAATCCGATGTTATCTCAGCCTTTACAGACTAGAAAATAGGGGCTACCAGAAACAGAATACAAGTTTTAGATTCTATGTATTGTTCTTTTTACTGACCTGTTTGCCATAGATGTCTAGGCATTCATCATAATCCACTTGGATGTTGTTGTATGCTAAAAATGCTTCCAACACTGGAATCCCTAGAAAACAATGCAGGGATTGACACATATTGATTTTGACATTGACTTTATATCAGGAGTAAAAACATAACACTAAGAGTGGACAGAAGTAAGGAAAAAAAAGTTAAAATAAAAGTGAGCAATAAATCAAATGTACTTAAATATCACAGGGTTAATTATCAACTTTATTACAACAAAAACATCTTCAATGTTTAGCAATAGCTTTATATTTATTCTGTGATAAAATGATACCCTTGCTATTTATGAGGTTTGGGTAGCATAGTAGATTTTTAGTAGTTGGGAAAATTTTAACACTGGAAATGTTCAAATTTCCAAGTTTTCTTGAATCCTCAAAAATTCTGATAAGATGAGAACTCTCATTCTTACATGGCAAATACAGACAGGAGCTGAAAAGTAACTGCTTCCTTTACTAAAGAACAAATTTAGTAATGTCTAACTTAACTTCTTTTTTCAATTATATCGCCTGCCTACCCTTTGCTTAAGAAAATAAATCAATCTCGAACCTCCTTGTAAATTTATATTACTAGAAAAAACAAAAGAAAACTCATTATGGACCTTGATTAACCTATCAATTACACTTCAAAGGGATAGCAAATAAGCTTATTATTCTCTTTAGACATTTTATTTCAGGAAATTATTTTTTTCTTCAACGTTGTTCTGCTAAGTTCTTTCCAACTACCTGACCAAAGAGATGACCTAATGCTGACATACCCTGAGTAAATGTGCTGTTTAGGGCTTACACAGGTTTCCACAGAAGTTTCCATGGTCCTAATGAAAGCATTTATCCAACTTGATGTCACTGGACTCTGCTTTGCAGCTGAGAAACTTAGTCCTTTTATTTATCAGCCCCACAAATATCAGCCCACTTTTCCCTAAGAAGAGGGTATATGTAATCTGCCTAACGTCACTCTCAGTATTTTGTAGGTAAATGTCAATGTCCTCTGAGAAGGTTATGCTCTTCCACTCCAGATGTAAATTATTTGCTTCAGAATTGACTTGGCTCTGAGAAAATTCTTAAAATGTGTGTTTTAGATAAGTAAGTAAACTTATGGCCCTTATTCCTTTCTACCCCCAAGTAACCTTCAAATTCTCAAAGGAAGGAAATAAAGAAAGACAGGGTACAAAAATATTTAACCAGCCATCAGGAGGATGATCCTCCTCTAACCCTTCCCCTGGATCTTGCTGAGGCAGGACACTTCACACCCAGGTATAACACACACTGTTGGAACTGTGCTGAATTTCCCCCCAGCTTCTGCACACTCCCTCCTCCTCCTCCTCCTCCTCCTTCTCCTCCTCCTGCTAGTTCTCCTCCTCCTCCTCCTCCTGCAACTGCTGCTGTTCCTTGTCTTCTTCTCATTTTCCTCCTCCTTCTCTTTCCTATTCCTCTTTTTATTCTCATCCTTCTCCTTCTCCTCCTGCTTCAACTTCTCCTTCTTCTCCTTGAAATAAGGATCACATAAGTTTATTCCTGTACCTACTCACAAAAAAATCAACACGAATTCCAAGAAAATACAAAATTGGTGTGTTGCTTTGGTCACTTAGTTATCACAAGTTACAATCAGTGTTGTGATTTGCCAAAAGAATGAACATTTCTTGTTAAAGCTCTACAAATAACAAAGTACAATATTCCCTTAACTTCCACTACCATTCCATTTCTAGAAAAATCAATCTATGCTAAAACCATGCAAAATGTATAATTTGTGTTGATATGTAAAATGGGGTTAAGTTCTAGGTTAAGATAAGTGGTTTTTTACCTCAATGAATGTCTGGTGGAATATTAGATTGCCATGCTACTGGGGACTTTTTCACTGTATGATGATGAAAACACCTACATCTTTGTCTCTAGCCTATTAAATGACACTGTTGCCTCCTATTCTTTTGACAACTAGTAAAGCCTCTGAAATTTTTTGAGACATGCCCTAGGACTGAGCAGTATCTCTCTGTTGAGAATGATTGCCCCAGACTTTCTCGTTAACAATAGCTGGAAAACCCCCTTCATCCCAATTTCAAGAGTTCTGCTCTCTCAGTGGACATTACTTCTCTCTAGGTCATTTCCTACTACCCTGGTACTGGCAATTCTTTAATTCCAGTAGGACCTACAATTCAGTAAACATAGTGCTTCTTCGCTGTCCCTCAACCTCCTCATGTCCCTCTTCGCCCTATTTAAAATCCATTTGTTTCTTACACTTTGCACCTGGGAACTCCTTCCAAAGGCTGCGCCTGAGCTCTGCAACCACTTTCCCCATTCATAGCAAGCCAGAAGTGCCTGGGAGTATGGCGTGTTTGCCATAGGCAGTCAAAGACTGATTGGTCCCAGAGTATAAAAACCTCGTTCCTTTGCTCCAAGGCTTGACAAGGCCTAAGGTGTGATTAATTTATTCTCCAGAACTCCCCCACTGAATCAAGGCAAAGCAGGGAGTTCACCTGTAATCACACCACTGTGTGGCTTATTCTCCTTCCTTGCCCTGCATCCTTCACTCCTTTGCTGGTCTTTCCTGGGGAACATCTCTTTGTTAACAATTTGAACATGCCTATTCATCCCGAAGCCTGCTTCTGGAGAATCCAACCAAAGATACTGAACAGAATAACAAACAACCTCACTTCTGAAGATACGTGGCAGGACTTCAAGGAATGGTCTTGTACTGCTTTACAAAGTCGAGACAATGAGCACCTGGAATCTTAACTCATCTCTCCCTGAGTCTATCTGCCCAGAGTTAGTTATGCTACCCTAATCTTTCTTAGATAAGGAACCCTTGGAAGATAAGCACATCCCTCAAAGCAACCATCACCGAGCAAAGACACTGTGCTGGCCCAGCCGTTTCTGTAAGAAGATTCTAGAAGAACTCCAATTTTGAGTCTTATTTATTTTACAAAGATTAGAGAGAATAAAAGATAGCTAGCTGGTTTCTCATTAAGGAAATAGAATTCGTCATGGCAATGAACAGAGGCAAGAACAATCTAGGGTTAGAATGTTGTTTCTCAGCTCCCTAAAATGAATGCTTGTTAATTAGGTCCAATCACTCTTTTCTCGAAGATCTCGTAGCACATTGTGTGTTCCTTAATAAAGTCTCTTGTTTTGATTCTGTGACATACAGCTACATTTTTACTAATTGCCAGGGGTCTTTATCTTCATCATCTTTATAGATGCTCCACAACAACTAACTACTTGGTCCTCCCAAAGTAAGCTCTCAGTAAATGTCAGTCTGTTGACTGACTCACATAGTGATTGACTGAATATCCTTTTCATGCTCCTGTTGTGGGAGGGTATAACTCTCTTATTCATCAAGTCAATCACATTCTCCCATTAGCACTAGTGTCTGTCTTACCCACCCTTCTCTCTCACTTCATCCCTCCTGTCATAGCCCAGGATCAGGGCTGTGGTATATCTCACGCAAACTCTTGAAATTTCAGCCCTGTTGTCCTCCCTGTCACTGATCATTTTCAGCTCCAGTCCAACTTTCTTATTGTGGTCTCACTCTAAAATCAGAGCATGCCACTCATGTAAACCCTTTAGTGCGCCCTACACACCTCTCTAACTTCATTTCCCATCACACCTGTGATCCTCTTATAAATTCCAGCTTTTCTGAACAATGTCCCAACATGCCACCTCTTCCAGAGGCATTTCCACAGGCCACTGCCTCGAATTGGAATGTGCACCCTCTTCCTGTGAGCTTGGGAATGCCCCCTCCCCTCAGTTCTTTTCAGCTCCCAAGTGCCTTCTTTGAAACCTTGTTACTTCTCTAGGAAAACCCATGAAAATTCACTATTATTGGCACATATCTCCAATGCAGTTCTCCAGACATGGTAATGAAATTTCTGTTTGGAAGTGTTTTTCACCCATAGACTGTGAATTCCTCCAAGAAGGAGGTTGTCTCTGTTCTGATTTGCATTCCTGGAACTTGGTAATGACAGGTTGAGGGAGTTTTGCACAGAAAAGGTACTCAATCCATTCTGGTGGAATGCAGGAAAGAATGAGGGTTGACTAGCCATTTCTTGAGAACTTCGCTTATTCATTCATTCATTCTTCATTCATTCATCTCTTTATTTTGATTATTATTTTATTGGGTGATTCCTAAAAATGGGTAGAGTATTATAATGGAAGCTCATGAGAGACCTAATATCATAAAACATGAGGCTACTTGTCAGAGCCAGAAACACTGAAAGCCAAGATCACTTATCTCAGGATTTTGCTTACAGCCAACCATGTAAATATAATATAAATTTATGTTATTATAATATAAATAATATAAATAATATAATTTATTATAAATATAATATAAATAATATATAAATATAAATAATCATAATAACATGATCTCACATGCATATATCACTTAACAGTTTTAAAGTACTTAAATGTTTTCACTCTATTTATCACATTTTACGTCATCAGAAAAATTTGGGAGAGGCTTCTGGGTTATAATCACCCCCATATTATTGACAGCAGAACTGATTACATGACTTGTCTAAGTTTACTTGTGTGATGGAGTGTGAAAATAGGTCAGTTTTTCACCCATTTTGGTGCCTATGGTTCTGGCTAGATAACTTTGCAATACTCCTACTCGGACTCCGGCTCCAGCCACATGACTTTCTTTAGTCCATGGAATGTCAGTGGGTCTGACAGGGTCTTGAGGGGTCTTGAAGAGACCCTGTACAACTAGGCTTGCTCACTTTTGCCCTCACCATAACCATGGAAAGGACCTGACCAGGCTAGGCTGCTGTTAACAGGGAAGAAAGAAAACTATCTACAGCAGAGACCAGCCACATCAGTCATCCCAATCAAGGTTAAGAGTCCAGATATATGAGTGACCCAGCCAAGACTAGAAGAGCTGCCCAGATGACGTCGGACTAAATCACCAGCCCTCAGAGTCATTAGTTAATTATATCTTATTGTTTTAAGCCTCTTAATTTTGAGGTGGTTCTTTATAAAATATTATTGTGATGATCCATCCATTTAATAAAAGCAAAGGTAGAACTAGAGAAGATAATGACTAAAATGT